GGGGTCTTCCAACTTGGCCCTTTTATGACTTGTGGACTTCAACTCCCAGAATTCCTCAGCCAGCGTGCCTGGCTGAGGAATTCTGGGAGCTGAAGTCCACAAGTCATAAAAGGACCAAGTTTGAAGACCCCTAGTCTAAAAGCTCTTCAGTGTTTGTATTGGACGTTATGGATTGTGTCTTTGTCACTGATTATATTCATTGGTTTTTAACTTGGTTTTAAGCATGGTTATATACTCTTTTTTGGCTGTTTTATGTGTAATTTGCATATCGTTCTTTGGTGCAGTTTTAACAATTGTGAGCCAGCCCTAGTCACAATATGTGAGATGAGTGGCTATATAAATTGAATAAATAAGCATATATCACCCATTATTATTGCTCACTTAAGTTTATTGCCATTAAGCTGTTTCCAATAAGAGTTTACATCCTGCAATTCATACCATCCAAGGTGGGAGGAATGTTCAGTACAGACATTAATGCATCTGAAATACTCAGGAATACAGATAATAGCTCAGAAAAGCCAGATCTGTCTGTAGGGCAGCTGTAACAACTACTCAAAGGACTGGACAGCTTGGCAGCCACTTTTCTATTTCACAAGCATTTCCCATCTGTATATGAGTAATACAAGCTAAGACAACCTTCTGCTATGGTAAATTAACTCTATTTCGACTTCCAACTTGTTAAGGAATATTGAGAGGCACAATATTCATTTGTTAATATTGCAATAATGCTCTTGATAGTCTTTTGCAATCTGGTGTTCTCCAGATCTACTCCTTTGATGCCATGGAAGGTCCTTTAATTCTAGGGAATCTAAATGAGTGCACAGAGTTATCTGAACAAGAGAAGATATGAAGTTACACAACAAGTCGTCTAGAGCAGTGGTTCTCAACCTTTCTAATGCCGTGACCCCATAATACAGTTCCCCATGTTGTGGTGACCCCCAACCACTTATACATCACCGGGTGCCAGGGGCGTGGCCAAAGAAAAGGGGGAAAAATGGCGGACAGCCTTGTTTGCCGACCCCCGTGAAATGGTCATTCGACCCCAAATGGGGTCCCGACCCACAGGTTGAGAACCACTGGTCTAGAGATAGTTTGCCTTCTGTAAGTTCTGGACTGAGAATGAAGGTGAAAGTATAGTAGTGTGGAAGATGGAATTGGGACCATGGTTTTTCTTTGCCAGCAGCAACAAATTAGGAATATGTTGAGCAGAATCAACCTTTTATTGTTTCATGAGTTGTTGAAGGGCAAAAGTGCTGTGGAGGGATAGGGGATACATCTTGGTAAGTTATGACTTGTTTTTAACTATTATTTGTAGAAGCCACAATAATTGGATTCCCAAGTTGTGATTGGCGATAAACCTGTACAAAAAGATTTGTTTTGTATCCCGAAACAAGCCTACATGATGGCTAAATGAACTGTTGCTTAGCACGCTGAAGGAACCCACTGTCTAGTGTATCTCTCCATTACTGGAATTTGCTTAGCTCTCTTTGTTTTATAATGTTGTCAGAGTTAGGCAGTATTTCTCAACTTTTTTTATAGGGCTATTTATATTCCAATACATAATGCAGTAAAAGTTGAACTGCGTGGTTAATCATTGTGTTACAAGTAATATTGATCATTTATATCTCTATCACTATCACAAACACATCAATATTGCTTACAATATTACAATTTCATATCTATGAAATAATTTTTTTTTAAAAAAAATCTACTCATTACTACATAACTGCATAATAAAAAAATTAAATACTCTTTGTGGTTCCTGAAAATTCATTTTTGGATTACATATATTTTTTATCTTGCTACTCATAATCAATATTTTTTCAAATATATGAGCCGAGGTGGCGCAGCAGTTAGAGTGCAGTACTGTAGGCCACTTTAGCTGACTGTGTTCAGCAGGTCAGCGGTTCAAATCTCACCGGCTCAAGGTTGACTCAGCCTTCCATCCTTCCGGGGTAGGTAAAATGAGGACCCAGATTGTTGGGGGCAATGTAAATATATATATACATTGCTTACTGGTGTACACTGCTTAGAGAGTGCTTGCACTTAAAGCGGTATATAAGTCTCATAAATAAATAAATAAATAAATAAATAAATAAATAAATAAATAAAGTAAATATAAAAAGTGTCTTAACTTTTTTGAGCAAGATATATATTTATAACTTAAATTTAAACAATTATGTTTTAACATATGATCTTACATTTGAGGCTGTTTTTATATCTGTGTAAAAATATGAATGTACTAGAAAAGGCAATGTATAATAGTGAATTCAGGCTCCATCCTCTTTTATATTTCTTAGCAATAGGGTGCCCTAAGAAAAGTGCAAATATTCATCATGTCAACTGTTAAAGACCTACTGTGGCGATGCAAAGAAAATACATTTTTTAAATCGCTGGTGCTTACACACACACACACACACACACGGATGGATTTAATGTGTGTGTATGTGTGTGTGTGTGTGTGTATATATATATATATATATATATATATATATATATATATATATATATGTTTTCTTAGGTTTTCGTGGGTGTTTGTATGTAGGTCTTTGGTTATTCGGGTTTTCTCCCGTGTAAAATTGGAAGTGTCTTGGCAATGGGGAAAAAGTCACGATACGTCGTGTGACGTCACGTGACATTGCGAGTTTGACATGCCTGCTCTATATCATTTTCATGTTCCTGCTATTCATGTAACCTCAAATATATCGAAGAAATTGAGAAGCAGAAGAAATTAACTCAGAAAAGTTTGGTGTTATCAGCCAAAACCATAAATCCTTGGATTAATGGGATTATGCTTTCATTTTGAAGGAAGAAAGAAAAGTAACAAGAGCACCTCCCAGAGCCAGAGGGTACATGATAAAGCCATTAAATTTTGCCACCCATAATTAGTAGTATGGCCATTGTATCACAATGCATTCATCAAGCTTGTTTACTGAAGAATAGAATGAGAACTAGAGCCTTTAATTAAAGCTGACCAAATTGCTGTCAAGAAGAGACTTGTAAGCAGCAATTTCTAATTAAAATGAATTCCCATAGTAGTAGTGTTCTCTCTGAGAACATCCTTTAAAAGATGGGTTGTAGCTACCAGAAATGCCATACATATGCCTGATAAAATCTGGCAGTGTTACAGTAATTGGAAGATTGAGTAGCAAAAGCTGGAGAAAATGTCCTGCAAAACACAGAGGCAAATAATTTAGTGTTAGGAATTTATTTTCCTGCTGTTGAACCGGCATTCAAAAAGATGGACATCTTAAGCCAAAGAGTTAAAGCTGGTTCCTAAACAAATGCCTTCATTTTTTTAGTCAGCTCTATGTCCTTTGGGGCTAACTGAGGCCTGCAATTCTTTTTAATGAATATTTCTGGTGGGGCAAGGACAGAACAGTGTGATGCTAATATTCAGTATAAAGCCCTGATTTTGAATGGCTTCTTTCTCATAGGCTGACCTATCCTATCTTAGCTTACTTGATAAATGAGCTGGTCTACAAAAACATACATAAATAAATGATGAGCACACCACCCAAGCTTCTGACCTGGTGCATCAAAAGCTGCTGGATTCTCTTGGGTCATGAGGAAAGATTTAGGGAACAGTGATCTTGACAATTTTTCAGAAGGCAATAACAATAGCACTTAGACCACGGGTGTCAAACTCGCCATATCACATGATGTGTTGCAACATATCGCAACTTTTTTTGCATTGCCGAAGCTGGGGCGGGCATGGCCTCCATATGATGCAACCGGCCCATAGGCCGGCAGTTTGACACCCATGACTTAGACTTATGTATCACTCCACAGTGCTTTACAGCACATTTTGAGTGGTTTATTACCAACCGTGGAAGGATGGAAAGCTAAATCAACCTTGAATCCATCGGGATTGAACTTCTGGCAATGGGCAGAGTTAGCCTGCAATACTGCATTCTAACCACTACGCCACCACAGAGCCTTAAGATGCAACTTTTCAATCACAAACTTAATGTTTTTATTAGAGACTGGGGAAAGAGAAAGAAAGAAAGAAAGAAAGAAAGAAAGAAAGAAAGAAAGAAAGAAAGAAAGAAAGAAAGAAAGAAAGAAAGAAAGAAAGAATCATTGCTGCATTTGAGATTATATTGTCTATCACTAAATCTCCCAAATCTTGTTTCTTCTCTGGGTGTATTTGATGCTCTCTGAGCTTAGGTGGTTTTCTTGCAGATGTTTCATCACCAACTAGGTAACATCGGCAGTGCTAGCAATAGTGCAATGACACATCTGCAAGAAAACCATCAGAGGGCACCAAGGATCCCCAGTTCAATCTTGAATTACAAATATTCTGTTTCTTCTTTATATTCCAGTGATGGCAAACCTTTTAGAGATCGAGTGCCCAAACTGCAACCCAAAACCTACTTATGCATCATCGAGTGCCGAGTGGGTATGGCCAATTGGTTGGGCGTGGCCCATTGGTTGGGCGTGGCCCATGGTTGCGGTGATAATGGCAGACTGGGTGGGACTAAAATGTTCAATCAATCAATTCCAACTTTGCAAGATCTTTTTTTTCCCCGCGGGAAGTTGAAATTGACTGATTGAACCTTTTTTTTTTTTTTTGCACACGGTGGCGGAGGCCTAAAGCGAAAAGGTTTTATAAAACCCAGCTGAAAGCCTAGGACTGGGGCAACAGCACATGTGCCCACAGAGGGGGTTCTGAGTGTTGCCTCTGGCACCCGTGCCATAGGTTCGCTACCACTGCTATAGTCCCTCCTCAGCTCACTGGCACATTTATGAGCAGGACCACAGAGGCAAGTTCAACTAACTAGTTCCATTGCCATTACTGATGTCCAAATTTATCTTTTCCTCCAATTTTGCAGCTTAAGCATCACAATTAACCTTGTGTCGGATGATCCTGGCTTGGGGATGTTTTACATTCATTTGTCTTATTTTTTTTTTTCCTTTGCAATACTGGCAATTTTTTTTTTCTTTTTTGTACCTGCGCTTTCTGATCCTAATCTTACATTGCATTTTGTGTGTTCCAGAACTACAAGTTCACCTGTCTTGGGCCAGAGAAATGCATGGAATCCAATGCTAGTTCAATTCAAATGCAAGGGGATTCTGATTATTTCATCAACCATCTTGGAGTCCCGGCTTTGCAATTTTCATACCAGGATTCAACCATGTTAGAGGTAATTGTAAATGAAGTTGCTAGGTTAGATTGGCAAATCAGAAAACAAAATCTGCTTTAAACTGCAGATTCTTGTACATTAAGAGGGTAGCCATCAAAAGCTGCTGACTCATGTTCTTATTTCTTGCGGGAAACAAGGGGAAACAAGAAGTTTTTGGCACAGTATTTGGATACATCAGTCCTCTCCAAGTGCATGTCATGTTTCCATTGAAAAGGAAAATGTATGCTTGTTGTCTCCTGCATAGCAAGGAAATTGCAGCAGGAGGATTAATGCTGAAGCATCATTGTGATATTCACAATAACATGAGGTGTGCATAGTGGATTTTTTGCTTTTTTGCTTTGAAAGATGGCTGGTTGTCCTTCAAATTAAATGTAAGGGATAATGAATGTACAAATTACACGCTGCCTGGAAAATGAATGAGGAAGAAAAAAAAACTGATGGGAAAAGAGAAAAGGATGCATGCTACTAGCATTGAGAATTTAGTTTAAATAAGAAGAAAAAAAATGCAATACAGAAATATTTAAATACCTAAGTCATTTGGGTAGTATATTACAACATGATAATGATGATAATGATTACAACAAGTTAAAAGAGCCTATTTCAATCCACTACTCTCCAGAAGGCAACAATTTTCAAGGGGTTTTTTCTGCTCTTGTGTTTCTAAGATCAAACAGTTTCATGGTATCAGCATTTGCCTAGACCAGTAGTGGCAAACCTATGGCATGCAAGCCAGAGGTGGCACTCAGAACCCTTTTTGTGGGCACGCCTGCTATTCCCCCAGCCCTGCCTCCACTCGTGGCCCCATCCTCATCAGCAGTTCCCTGGAGGAGAGTCGCTGCCAGGTGCGGTCCACGTGGAGCAGCACAGCCAAAGATATGGGAGCTGGGCAGTGGGGACAAGACTCCGCCCTCTCTTGCTGTCACATGCAGATGATGCAGGGCATGGGTGGAGGGTGTGGCTGCCATGGTGCTGCGGCGGGCCGTGGAGGCAGTGGGTGGTCCTGCAGGCAGGTGGGGGCAGGGACGGGGGGGCAGGGCAGGGTGGTTTTTGGGCACTCGGTCTCTAAAAGGTTCGCCATCACTGGCCTAGTCCAAACCTTAAAAAACTTTTAATAATAAGCAATTCTGTGTGATTAAGATTAGAACAATAATAGCAAAGGTTTAAGGCTTTACCTCCAAACAGTTTTCCCTTCACCACTTTACTTATTTAATTAAACAGAGACCATCATCCCCAGAACAAAAACAGTTAAAAAAAACGGAAAAAGGAGAAAGAGATTAAAGAGCAGTGCTATAACTCTAATATAGATATGTTTCCATGTAGATAGGTTTTCTCTCCAGGTATGTGGCCTTTGTGTTTATGATTGGTTTTAACTTCAGGTCACCTGCAAACAAAATCCATCTAGAGAACATTGCAGTAGTCCAGTTGGGTGATGATAAGAGGCATGAGTTGCCAAGGTCAGGTGACTTTTTGTAAAGAGGAAATCACTTGGGTCATAATCTGAATAATCTGTTGGGATTACCAGCAGACCTTGATCTCTCTCTTGCCTTCCCAGCAACTAGGAGAGGTGATCAAGAAGTTTTCGTCTGTATATTTAATAATGTGTAAAAAGCTAATCAAGGATGTCTCGATGTCCTATTTCATTTAGCCCCTTTAGAAATGAAGGATAAATCTAAATGGAGCCAAAATAAAAGTAATTCAATTTGCCTTAAAGACAATGTGGCTTTGTTTGATACGGACTATTAGAAGTATGACATCAGGTGCAGGTGACAAGCTGGTTAATCAGTTCTTGTTGCAACCAATGAATCAATACTTGGTTGATCAAAAATCAAACCAAAAAACTAGACCCTGTATTTGCAGGAAAATATTAGGTATCCATCATCTATCTATCTATCTATCTATCTATCTATCTATCTATCTATCTATCTATCTATCTATCTATCTAAAGAATTTTAGGTAGTGTTGTTTAAGGCTCTTGGTAATGAGAATCAATTTGATGTATTGGCCTAGAAACCAGTAGACTATGAGTTGTAGGCCTGCCTTAGGCATGAAAACTGGAAGAGTGATTTTGGGCCAATCACCAACAAATTTAGAATTCTTAGTCCCATTTTTGGCATGAAAATTGGCTGGGTGACTTTCATTATCTTTCAACCCAACTCATCTCATGGGGTTATTATAGAGAAAATAGGAGGAGCAAAGAATATTAGATATATTTACTGTCTTTAGTTGCTTATAAAGTAATAAAGGGGGATAAAAATCCAATAAATAAACAAAGTACAGTTCAGTGTGAAATCCGAAAATATTTCTCATCCAATTAAATGAATTATTTATTTATTTGATTGGTTGATTGATTGATTGATTTCTATAGAAGCCCATCTCAGCAAACAACTCTGTGCAGCTTACAATCAAAAATATATATTACACTTAAAATATTAAAAATGTTTTAAACCAACAAAAATGTAAAACCATTAAAGCAATAAAAAAAACATTAAAAGATCTAACTTTTGCTTTAGTGTTAGTAAAGGTATATATTTGAGGAAAGATATGGTCCCAGTACAAAAAGCAAATTTTATTTTAATATTCAAGACCACATTTCAGGACTCAAGAGTGCCACACAAACAAATAGCCATCCAGAGAGGTTAGCATGATGGAAATAAATAAGGCATTCAGCACATAGCGCTTGAAATTCACAGTATAAATGGAAATCTGCTTAAAGATGTTTCCTTAAAGTCACTTAACCCAGAAGCATCAACAATTTTTTCAACATAGGCCTTCTGTACATGCGTAGACTTCTAAAATTTTGCAGTAATGGCCACATTGTCTGGAGAATTTTGGAAGTTAAAGTCCACAGATCTGGAGGATAGCCAGAAGGAGATCACTAGACTTTAGTTATTAACCTGCATCCTTGGAATGTCTATTGCTCTATCCATATTTCTTACAATATTAAAAGGAAAGTCTATAATTTACTTTCTTAGCATAAGTTGTCAAGTCAATTGCTGGCACTTCTAGATAAACTTCTTGCAAAACAAAACAAAAACCTTCTTGAAGTTCAGAGAAGTTGCTCCCATTCAACAAAGTTTAGCACTATATATAATTTGGCATTATTTAATTTTAAGGTACTCCCTTGTGTAAATAGGTGTCATGAATAAAAATCAAAATTAGGAATATATCTTTGATAATGTGTTTAAGTCCTGTCATTGCCTTAAGGAAAATAGGGAGGGTTTTTTGGGGGGGAGGGAGGTGCTTTCATTATCTGCCAAAATGAAGCAGGATCTTGGAATCCCTTCTGTGTTATTAGCACTACTAATTTGCTAATAATTAAATTTCACAAAGGCAGAGCAGTCTCTGGATTTGCCAAAAATTACAGTGATTCTTTCTTTTATTTCTCCCCCCCCCCGTCCGCATTTTTTAATAAGAAATAGTTCTGCTAATTGAATTGTCCTGTCGTTGGTGTATTTTATTTTTAGCAAGAAGACTTTTTAATTTGTGAAACATTGTTGCACCTATTAGAAAAACCATTCTGCTTTAGATTAAATACAAGGCAAAGGTTGTCATAAAAGAAATGGAAAAGCAGATGTTCCATGATTAAGTGTGCAATGTTTATGACAGGCTTGTGGTCCAAGGCTCATTTCTTCTGTCACTTAACAGCTGCTCTACACAGCTTCTGTGTTCTGAATTGGATACTGTGCAGGGCATAGGAGAGAGTTGAAAGGCTCCAACTGCATCAGAGGAAGAGGTTTTCTGTAGCATCTATCTTGATTGACATGACAGAAGCAAACAGGGCTTTTATAACATAAAATAGTACATTGAAGAATTCTAAAAGTAATATATCGTTTCTCTGGGGTAATCATTCATTCATTTGTTCAGAGCCGCCCAGTTTTATAATATGGGAGCTATGTAAATGTTTTTGTTTTTAAAAAAATCTATCTATCTGCCTATCTATTTCTCTCTCTCTCTCTCTCTCTCTCTCTCTCTCTCTCTCTCTCTCTCTCTCCATCATTTATCATCTGTCTGTCTATCTATCTACCTACCTACCTACCTACCTACCTACCTACCTACCTACCTACCTACCTACCTATCTATCTATCTATCTATCTATCTATCTATCTATCTATCTATCTATCTATCTATCTATCTATCATCACCTCCATATGATATCAGTTCCTCAAAGAAGGGCTTAATGTTTCTGGTGGCAGCTAACTTTGGCAAGAAGTTTCTTTATCTGGAATGCATGAAGATTACAAAAGATGGTTGGATTCAATTTTCATAATCCCCAGCTAGCGTTGTCTTGAAGTTAAATAGATTCGGAGGGCTGGGGATTAATGAAAGCTGTGTTGGAACACCAGTGTGGAAAAGTACATGTACTGTTCATTTATTCTTCAATTGTTCTGGATTATTCAGGTGAGTCTACTTCCTGCCACCATAAATGATCTCACTTAGGATTTGAATAAATAGGGCAGTTATTTTCAACCTGAGGTAAGATAAAAATGAGTAAATATAACACAGGCCATCATGCTGGCAGGTGCAGTAGATCAGTGCAGTAGATTTTTAGCAGAATGGAAATACCATAGCTTGTGATCAATTTAATGATAATAACAAGAAACTCAGTCCTGGGAGAATAGTACATCTCTCCCATAAAAGCTTAATAAACAAATATATTGTGGTATGCCAAGAAAGATCTTTTCAGCATTTGTTATTTAAGAATATAACTTCAGTTTCTCTTACTATAAGGCCTGGATATCTTATTTCTGCAATTGTATCTGCAGCTGTTCAGAATGATAAAATAATGTGGCCATGCCAATACCAGCTTTCTCCAAGCAGTTAATTAGTAAGGAATGAATCAGAACTGAAGAAGCTTCCTGGATGAGAAGTGAAATACCTTCAAGGAAAAACAAAGTCCAATTGCCTTTTCAGAAAGCACATTTGGGAGAAAACTATTCTTATATTTCCTCTTATCCCTGACTTGTTGAGGAGGGGAATAGGAAAGGCATGGATTTCTTGGA